CAATTGCCATCAATAACTTCGTGTTGGCGAAGATTGAATTGAACTGATTCTTTGACATAAATAGCAACACCGCCAGTGTGCCTCGAATGTGACAAACAAGCAGCAGCTTTATATCCCGGAATGCTATACTGATCAAAAGATTCAATTTCTACAATATGTGTTTCTGCTAACAAAACCAAAAGTGGACGATTATCTTCTACAATCTGACGTAATGTTACGTAGTTTGTAGATAACCCCGCAATATTCAAATACAAAATCTATAATTTACTAACATTACTACTGGAACTTGGTTGCTATTTATTGAAATGTAAGCTGCTTTTTTTCTGATCATATAGTTTTTTATACACAAAACAATTAGAACTAAATGCTGCGTGGTTGACGTCCAGATTTAATTTACGCTCTTTATTAGTTTTTAAACAATTAACGCATTTCAATACAGTTGACGTACACTTAGAGGTGCTATGTTGTTTGCTGCATCTAGAGCATCGTTCGCAATTTTTGCAATCCGTGCTTTAATGCCCAAATTCTCCACATCTGAAGCATCGCAAAACATTAATCGCGGGAACTATCGAGCACCGATCAAACCCTACATTTACTTTTTTCGCACATAACAAACATTTATACGTCTCGATATCGACTTCAATCACAACACTAAACTTGTTGTAAGTGAAGCGTGGATTTTAAAACATGTTAACTACTTTTACATCATTATTTGCGATGTCTTCATTTTGACTTTTTAAGAAGTCAATGAAGACATCGGAGGAATACTGATCGCTCATGCCCATCATTTTTAACATTGGCACCGATGTGGGAACAACAGCGTTGTAGTTTTCACCCAAATTGCTTTCAATGCCCTTTTTCACCTCATTTACATTGTATCCTGTTGCATACTCAACAATAATGGAGCCATCTTTCCCGTTTCTAAAGTTACTGATTTTGTGTGTTTTTGAATCCAGGTTTGTTTTCAAAAACTTGCAAGTTTCCTCGCAGTCTTGTTTGGACTCTTTAGGTTTAATCACAATGACCAGGCGAGCCTTACGGTTGTTCAGTTTTTTACTTTCAAACTTACTTTTATCATTTTCAACTTTATTTTTACTGATATCCTTACTTTTACCGTCCCCTTGTCCGTTTTTTAAAGCATCCGCGAAACTACATTTAACTTTATCATTAGTAGAATTCTCTTCGTCATGACTATTACTATTACCATCGGGGATTTGACCCGCTTCAGAGGGAATCGGCCCAGATCCACTGCTATTATTCATTGCAACTAAATTTTTGTACGCAATAATTCTCGAAAATGAACTAGTCATATTTTCCAATTTTTCATTTAATAATATTTCAAGTCCGCCAACGGCTTTCTTCAGGGTACCATTTACATTTAAACGGATAGCTTCCATACCGGTCTTCAACGCGTTATCAATTTGAGCAGCAATCTGATCTCGCATGTTTGTGATCGAGGCCGAAATAGAAGATATTCTCTTCACTTCTTCCTCAATATTTCTAACATGCGAGATCGAAGTCCTCACAAGTTCCTACTTTACGCCTCCCCGAGTCATATGATAACAAAAAATTACCAGCTGAAACATGGACACAGCTGGGTGGCGTAGCCTGTGCGTGATTTTTTGCAATGTGATCAACAAATGAAAGCCATGTGTAACCACACATACTATTAATTTGACTCATAAATTTCATGTGTGCTTCTGGATGGATTTTGTTTATGTGTGGTCACATGAAAATCATGTGGAATTTGACATGGAAATTCGTCAATAAATATGTGTGGAATTTTATTAGTGTAGAGGAGAAGAATGCAGCACGGGAGAGAATGCTGCAATACCACGAGATTGAATGTGGAGCGAAACAGACAAGCGCAGAACAGACAAAACTCGGTTTTCCGAAGGAAGATGCGTCAGCTGGAAGACCTAGATCGCGAGGAGATTTACAATCTGTACCGCGTAAACGACACACGGAAGTTCTACGAGAAGCTAAATAGTTCGCGCAAAGGCTACGTGCCGCAGGTCGATATGTACAAGGACTTGGACGGTAACCTTCACACGAACGAGTGTGAAGTGATTGATAGGTGGAAGCAGTACTATGACGAGCACCTCAACGGTGATGCAGCAGAAAACGAAGGTGGCACGGCAACAGACCTTAGAGCACGCGCAGAAGACGACAGGCTACCGGCTCCTGATCTTCAAGAAGTTAAGGAGAAGATCGGTCGGCTGAAAAACAACAAAGCAACTGGTGTAGATCAACTACCAATTGAGCTATTAAAATACGGTGGTGAAACACTGGCTAGAGCGCTGCACAGGGTAATTGCCAAGATTTGGGAGGAGGAGATATTACCGGAGGAGTGGATGGAAGGCCTCGTATGCCCAGTCTACAAAAAGGGCGACAAGTTCGATTGCGGCAACTACCGCGCGATCACACTGCTGAGCGCCGCCTACAAAGTACTCTCCCAGATTATATGCAGCCGCCTGTCACCATTTTCAAGATAGCTCGTAGGGCAATGCCAGGTGGGATTCATGGGTGCCCGCGCTACCACGGACCAAATTTTCGTGATTCAGCAGGTTCTGCAGAAATGTCGCGAAAACAACGTGCCCCACAATGTTTGTTCAGCGATTTCAAATCCGCATACGACACAATCGATCGAGAACAGCTATGGCAGATTATACACGAGTTCAGATTTCCGGTTAAACGGACGCGATTGGTCAAGGCGACGATTGATCGAGTGATGTGTGTTGTTCGAGTATCGGGGACACTCTCGAGCCCCTTTGAATCTCAATGGGGGTTACGGTAAGGAGATGGACTTTCGTGTCTGCTATTCAACATCGCGTTAGAAGGTGTGATCAGAAGAGCTAAGATAGACACGAGTAGCATGATCTTCAGGAAGTTCATCCAGCTTCTTGGCGTCGCCGATGACATCAACATCATGGCACGGCACTTTGAGACGATGCGGAAACCTACATCAGACTGAAGGCTGAAGCTAGGCGTGTTGGACTTGCCATCAACGCATCAAAGACAAAATACATGAAAGGAAGAGGTTCTAGGGAAGACAATGTTAGCCTCCCACCCCGAGTTTAGATTGACGGTGATGAAATCGAGGTGGTCGATGAGTTCGTGTATTTGGGCTCACTGGTGACCGCCGAAAATGATACCAGCAGAGAAATTCAAAGACGCATTATGGCAGAAAATCGTGCCTACTTTGGACTCCGGAGGACGCTCCGGTCGAATAAAAATCGCCGCCGCACGAAGTTAACTATCTACAAGACGCTTATTAGACCGGTGGACCTCTACGGCCACGAGACCTGGACTATGCTCGTGGAGGACCATAGGTGGACGTGGAGTGCAAATGGATGACGGAACGTGGAGGAGGCGAATGAACCACGAATTGCACCAGCTGCTAGGAGAACCACCCATTGTCCAAATTGCAAAAATTGGGCAACTATGGTGGGCTGGGCACGTCGTAAGAATGCCGCACGACGACCCAGTGAAAATGGTTCTCGAAAGCGACCCCACAGGAACAAGAAGAAGAGGCGCGCAGCGGGCAAAATGGATCGACCAAGTAGAAGGCGACCTGCGGACCCTTCACAGACTACGAGGCTGGCGAAGTGTGGTCACGGATCGAGTAGAGGGGGACGACTTCTTCGGACAGCAGAGGACAACAAGGTCTTAGCATGATTGGTAAGTATGTACTGTATTACATCCACGTGGGAAAATATTTTTTTTTTTGCGAAATAATAATTATGTTACATGAACTAAATCATAGTCGTAAACCTGTCCCATATGAATAAGAAATTAAGCAAAGATCCTATACTTCCAAATAGACACGAGTAGCATGATATTCAGGAAGTTCATCTAGCTTCTTGGCGTCGCCGATGACATCAACATCATGGCACGGCACTTTGAGACGATGCGGAAACCTACATCAGACTGAAGGCTGAAGCTAGGCGGATTGGACTTGCCATCAACGCATCAAAGACAAAATACATGAAAGGAAAAGGTTCTAGGGAAGACAATGTTAGCCTCCCACCCCGAGTTTAGATTGACGGTGATGAAATTGAGGTGGTCGATGAGTTCGTGTATTTGGGCTCACTGGTGACCGCCGAAAATGATACCAGCAGAAAAATTCAAAGATGCATTATGGCTGAAAATCGTGCCTACTTTGGACTCCGGAAGACGCTCCGGTCGAATAAAAATCGCCGCCGCACGAAGTTAACTATCTACAAGACGCTTATTAGACCGGTGGACCTCTACGGCCACGAGACCTGGACTATGCTCGTGGAGGACCATAGGTGGACGTGGAGTGCAAATGGATGACGGAACGTGGAGGAGGCGAATGAACCACGAATTGCACCAGCTGCTAGGAGAACCACCCATTGTCCAAATTGCAAAAATTGGGCGACTATGGTGAGCTGGGCACGTCGTAAGAATGCCGCACGACGACCCAGTGAAAATGGTTCTCGAAAGCGACCCCACAGGAACAAGAAGAAGAGGCGCGCAGCGGGCAAAATGGATCGACCAAGTATGAAGGGTCCGCAAGTCGCCTTCTACTTCACAGACTACGAGGCTGGCGAAGTGTGGCCACGGATCGAGTAGAGGGGGACATTAGAGATGAACTAGCCAACGGCTAAAAATCTCTCTAATAAAGTTAAAAAAAAGAGGGGGACAGCTTCTTCGGACAGCAGAGGACAACAAGGTCTTAGCATGATTGGTAAGTAAGTACTGTATTACATCCACGTGGGAAAATATTTTTTTTTTTTTGGCGATATAATAATTATGTTACATGAACTAAATCATAGTCGTAAAACTGTCCCACATGAATAAGAAATTAAGCAAAGATATGAATGATGCGCGATTATGGGTAGCATAAGATTATCATACATTTTATGCATTTGAATCAAATTTGGCCTTGATAATCAACGTGTCCAGATTTATGGACTAAATGTCCGGAATTCGGTGCATTGCAGTTCAAAGAAATGGAAAAATTAAAACATACATACCTTATAGCAATGCTCTTTGATTTCAGGTGATTCCATCTCTGATTCATCTCATCCAAACGACGTTGCAACATTACAGCATCTTCTTGTGACGTTAATGATCCTAACAGTTTTCTACCAGTATTGTCCAAGCGGTCATACACTACACGATGTGATTCAATCTCAGATTGTAGGTCCTGAAAATAATACAAGCAATATTACGACTAATTTATACTACTTCAATTCAATTGATTCAGTATCAAATTACAAATAAATACCATTTGTTTAGTTAAATCATCATTATCAAAGATCAAAATGAAAATAAACTCAAAATTTACCTAATTACCTAATGGATTACTGAGTGAAAGGGACATTTCCTGGTATTTATGTCTTAAACACTTTTTATAATATTTTACCAGAATACATAATTTTTTCCTACAACTTTTTCTCATACGTCATTTTGATTAAAACTTCATTTCACACATGGTTGTTTACCGGTAATTACGCTTTTGTTCGTATTTTTGTATTAAAATCATAGTCTTAAACATTTAAATGTGTGTTTATTTAAATTTAAAGTGTGAGTTTATTTGTTTATTTCGTCTAGCAAAAGTAGACTACACTGGCGTCGCTTTTTACGGGGTTTTGAAACGGTCTTTTTTTTACGCGGATTTCGGAATTAACACGGTTTTTTACGCGGATTTCGGAATTTACGCGGTTTTTTTTACGCGGATTTTAGTTTTTTTACACGGATTTCAGAATTTACGCGGTTTATTGTTCTACACTAGAGTCGCTTTTTACGCCGTTTTTTTTTACGCGGTTTTTGTTTACGCGGTTTTTTTACGCGGACGTATCACCCGCGTAAAAAGCGACTCCAGTGTACATACAATGATCACTCCGTTTTACTTTCATGCTATGCATTATTTCTATAATTGTTTAGTTGGTTTTTAATTTGATCTTTTGAAATAGTGATGCTAATGACTTCGCAGTGTAGATTAATCTTTTTTTTTTATTTGGATTTGGACAATTGGATCTGTTTCACTTCGAATTCGGGAGCTCACGGATTCCATTACTGACCCGAGCACCGACAGTACTTGAATCCGGTAATTTCGGTAATCGGGTCGGTAATGGATTTTGGAGATCTTTAGGCTTTTAAGATTCGTCCTTAAAATAATGAATAGTTGAGAAATTACCTGTAAACAACCCTACCCATAACAAACAATTGTTATTTTCAAGCAATATTTTGTTTTGCTATTTGGCCTGGAATTCTACAGTAGATCATGATAAAAAGAGTAGAGTTCATTCAATAAAACACCAACGAAAGAGCAACTCGTGATCCAAGAAGGAAAAATCATAATTGATTCTTCTTCCAATATTCAATAAAAATATTTTTTTGCTTCCCGTTGTTACCCTATCACATCCTTCATTCTATTTTGACAAATAATGACAAAATGACAAATAATGACAATGAAAACTATTTCGAGATAATGTAACATTCGGGGTAATGGGTTTTTGGAGTAATGGTTTCCGGGGTAATTGTACTTGGGGTAAGGTGCCATTCGTGGTAATGGTATTCGGGTATTATGGTTGTAGGATCTTTCATACTCTCTAAAATGCTTGCCCAGCTAGTGCCAACTCTGCCAACAACTGAATACGGTTCTGTATAGATACACATATCAAATGGATATACGGCTCCTCAATGGCAATACATATATCTGTTTACACTTACTGGAAAACGTAAGATTCTAATACAGATTTGTACAAAAAAAATTACAGAATATGTGATGTTTTAAAGCATGAAATATTGTGTAATATGGTAAAAGATTTTTAAATAATTGTGATGTTCGTTAAATTATCGTGTTCGATTTCCAATTTAATATCTTCTCTTGATGGTTTTATATGAAAATATGAATTCTGGAAAAGCTTGTTTGAGCGCTTCTGAAACAGTCCGTTGAAAGAACTGAAATAACATTTGTTGTAAGAAAAAATGCAGAGGATGTAAGAAATCCACACTTACATTTGATGCTAATGCCATTTGTTTTGCGTGAAAATTTACAGTTAAGAAGAAAAACAAGACCCGTTGTAGATAATTTCCAACCTGCAAAGCACAACAAAACATTTTTTTAATGTATATTTGTGCGGTAAAACGTGATACGTTTTGTAGTTTTGTGAACTTCTTGTCTGCCACTATTCGCATGTAGATAGGACATGGAAATGTTATGCGAATAGCGGCAGTTGTGAATTTCAACAAATTTGTTCACTATTACAAAATTAGATCTATGTAATTTAAAAAAAATTCTCTGACAGAAGTAAAACGAAGATAAGAAGGACAATACAAAACAATTATGAAGATAAACCACTTGAAAACATGCTAACTGCCGCTATTCGCATAACACTTCAATGCAAATAGGAAATCCGCAGAATATGGAACTGTTATGTGAATAGTGGTAGTTAAAGGTAATAAAAAATTACCTGACTGAATTTATCCTGCGTGTCAAGAATATCAATGAAAAGCGCCATTCGATCATCCATGATTTGGAACCCATTTCTGGGTTGTGTTAATAAGCTTTGCACTGCTTCGCGTATGGAGCCAGGTGTAGTACTACTACACGAGCTGTCATCTGATGAATTTTTGCATACTTCAGTTCCATTAAAACTGCTACCATTACTACCTCCGTATGCCATATTGAACAATCGTATTTGCTCAGATGTTTGTTTTAATGCATCCGAACATTTTTTCAAATATTCGACTGAATCCGCACTCTTTGCATTCAATGCAAGAAGAAGAAACTTGTCTAAAATTTGATCGACCGTTTTGGATGTTTTCGCAATGTTGATCGATAACTTTGCCTGATTTTTAACATCGAATGGTTTTAAATCATTTTTCGGTTCGACACTACTGTCGATCAGCTTTTCCATTGGTTTATTTTTGGCATCTATCTCATTAACTGAAGTAATAATAATCGTTGCATTATCCAGTGATTTTGACTTCACATTATTGTTACACAAGTGTTTAAGATCGGTTTTACTAGTATCCGGTTGGTTTGATCTAATAGCATCTAAAAACTGCCGCAACTGATCTGAAGGAGTTTTTACATCACCAGATGATTCTTTTCGGAAATTATCCGTTTTCGTGGGTATTTTATCCGGTTCGACAGTTTCAGTTATTCCTTTACCTTCTTCGTCATCATCGTCATGGCCATAAGATTCATCGTTCATTTCTGGTTCGCGCATTGAGCTACGAATACTTTCCAGAAATAATTTCAACTGGTGAGAAGGTGTTTGTACTTCTTCGTTCACAATATCCCCAGGAGGAGGTGTTTGCGAGGGCTGCAATGTTGGATGCTGCTTCGACATGGGAGTTGTACTATGATTGCTGTTTTGTTGTTTTTGTTTCTTCAATTCCTGCAACAACTTGGCTTGTTCTGAATATCGCTTCACGCTTTCTGTTATTGTACGAAGCTGCTCGGAGTATATTCGCAGCTGTTTCTCTAAAAATGCTTGGTCCGGAACGGTGCCATATGCGAATGAAATCGGGCGTGGTTGTTTTCTATCAATCGATCCCACATTCTTTGCAGCTAGTTCATTCATATTGCTATAAATAACACCTTGATCGAACAACTGACCGTGAAATGTAATAGATTGACGCATTCCAGGTGCATTTGGAATTCGCATATTGGGTAAACCAGGTTGTGACAAACGCTTGATCGGAGGTTGCTGCTGAGCCAATGGAGTATTGCGATCTAAGCTTCTAGGACGTAATACAGGAGGGGTGTTACTGCTGTTAGTTGTATTTTGTCTAGGGATGCTCTGCGATCGTCTTTGAGGTACTGCTGGGGGTACCATTGAATTGGAGTGTGCAGTAACCGGTACAGGTAATGTATAAATGTCACCTTCCTGTTTAGTTGTTTTTAGTGAACTTATTGGGGATGCTATGGACCGATGCTCGCTGTTCTTTTGTATCGTTGAATAAAAGGCATTATAAAGAGGCTCTTGTTGTATTACATTACCAGCATTTATATGGAAGTTTGATTTTTCATCATTACTTTTTATTCGTTGCAATTGTGGTTCAACAGCAATACTATGAGGTCTTTTAGGATGAGGAAACGAACTGCCGTTGTTGGAATTACCCTTTATAGTGTTGTCATATCCAAGTTGCTTTTGCGAATGTTGCGAGGCAAACGTTGTAACGAACGCATTATTTATGTGCAATGATATATTTTTATCATCTATTCTTAGTTCGTTGCCACCATTCAGTGCTATTTTGCGATTCATTATGAAATTTTCCAAATGATAATCAATACTGGCTTTATCGCTAACTGCTGATGGTGAAATTTTTGGCGAAACTTTGTACCCATTAGGCATTGCGTTTTTTTTTTCCAAAGCAGACATTTGTTTATGCTTTGGTAGATTAACAATGGTCTTTTCAACAAAATCTTTGTTATTGTAACCATTTTGTACTGGTGTTGATGCCATTTTTTCTTGGTTCTTCTTCAATTCGATTTGTTTTGATCAATTCCGCTTATCACTTAAAAATTCTTATCACTTATTTTATCGTTGTTGTTTTTATTACCACTTAATGATACTTTTTATCACTTAACTTAACATCAATTTTTTTATAAAGACTATTGTTTTTAATCACTGTGCGTCGAAAATAATTATAAAGAGTCGAATATATCTACCAAATACACAGTATTTTTTTTTTTCTAATGGTATTTAATTTAGGTACATTACAATAAATATTACCACACATAATTTCAAACAAATCATTATGATACGTTGAATCATTGTGTCTGCAAAAAAGCTTGCATAAACTGCAGGTTATAAAGTAGCAGTAAGTAAAACATGAAAATAAAAATGCATAAAAGATATATGCACAATGCCATTACTGTGATATTTCATTTAACATTTACAGCTTCATTAAATATACGGAAAGATTAAAATAATAATATTTATATATAAATTATAAAGCATCAATTTTTTCAAGTCCAGATATGTTTTGGATGCCCCCAAGGAAATGGACACATTATGACTTGAACCAAATCCCTCATGCGATTCAAAATCAAATGCAGAATAACATGAGAAATCAAAATCATTTTCATTTTCATTTTCAAGCACAATTTAAATAATTTGCAAGTTCAAACATGTGTAGGTTAAAATCATTGATTCATAGCTCCTAACGCTGAACTTTTCAGGAGTATTATTTTATAATGTAATCTTCGAAATTCAATCGGTTTTAAACCCTGCCAGGTGCCGCCTACCATCTTTTCGGGCCGTTCAATATGGTGTCACAAAACCGTTCGATAGGCTGTATATAATATTGACATTTTCGAATCGAGATTTGGCTAGGTACCCCTCAGTACCCAACGCTGAAATTTTCAGAAGTACTATTTTATAAGGTTATCTTCAAAATACAACCAGTTTTAGACCCCGCCAGGGCCCGCCCACCCTCTTTTCAAGCCGTTGAATATGACGTCACAAAAACGCTTGATGGGCTGTATATCACATGGATGTCAATGGAAAGCATTGGTGTATTCAGCAAAGTTGTATATTTTAATGATGCCAACAATTTCTTAGAACATCATAAATTGATCAAATTTGAAAAAAGCACTAATTAACTTAAAAAACCAATATTAAGGTAGTCTTAAAAGAAAATCTATTATAGCTCTACAGAGATATGATGTAGAAATTTGGTGTCTTTGGCAAATGTTCATGAAATCAACTGCGCTGCAACTTTGTCCAAGACATGGAACCATTATCTCGTAACTGGAAAAAGTTAGAACTTGGATGTGTAATACTAGCTTAAAGATTATTCAGGTGTGTATTTCAAAAGATGCGAGTTATAATTTTGAGCAACTTCTCCCAAGACACCCAGTCTCTAAAACGTCGAAAAAGGGTAGAAAATATTTTTGACCGTCTTTATTCATATTCGTGCCACTGTGCGGCGGCGTGCACCGGTGTATGACTTTGGTGGCCGTAAAAATATCGCATTTTCAACTTGAATTCAAGTAAGGTCACATAAATTGAATACAAATATTGTGTTGATGTTTGTGACATGTTATAGACAACGCCTTTTGAAATTTGCTACCGAAAACACCATCTTATCTTTTCAAACAGTATCAGGAAAGGTAAGGTTGTTTAGATGAAGGCTCGATGTTTTTGAAGATATTGAACAAACAATATGACCAACATTGACCATAGTTGTCACGATATGGGTTTTGGTATGAGACTCTGGCCATTTCCTGGAGGGGTGGCAAAGTGGTTATTGGCTGTCGATGTAACATTCATGGGTCGTATTGTTTTTCGGATTCTCTGGATTTGCGGCGCACAGGTAAACTCCCATTCCCTCTGTATACACAACAAATCTGATACTATAATCAGAATTGCTCAGTCTGCATGAAGCAGTCGATTTCATCAAGCAAGTTCTATTAACAACAAACAATTAATCGATTAAGGCATACTGAAGCATTATGGGAAATCATCATCGTTGCAAATATAAATAGATTAAACATAACCCTTTGCTTCAGTACCGTCAACCTCAGTCCATGGGGAGGGTGCTTTGATTACCAGCCATAATCGTCACGAAAATGAATCTGAGCTGGCACGCACGTTTCAGTTCCAGTACTTGTGGAGATCAGGCTATGCATTTAATACCTGATTTTGTAAGGGTTTTTCAAGCATGGTTTCTTTACTCACTCGGAGAGATTTCCGTTTCGATAAGATATCACAAGAAATTACATACATTTATAACATCCTCCCGTTTCTCGTCCATGGCTGCTTGAAATCGAAAACTAATGAAATTTATAATGCAACTATCAATACTAGCTGACATTTTACACACTTAAAAAAAACTTGAACATATAAGGGAAATGGCTCTAATGTTGGCCTATGGATCTAAGAATGGGCCCATCGCTAAAAATCTGCTATTTATCAATTTTATCTACATGAACGCATCATTGGAACGGTACTTAATATCCATATCGATATTGAAAATTTAGTCGATTGCTGAATTTAAGTATGGGACCAAATTAGGGGCATTTCCCCTATTCATTTTACACATTGAGAATCACATATTTGAGAAAGCGATGACATACTCTGGCTCACCCTGTTCTTTGCCATACAATAATACTAATACAAAAATGGCACAGGCCTAAAGAACTCTCAAAACAACTGTGGTAGTACTCAATGAACACTAAGTTGAAAGCCTGTGAAATTAATCAGTGGTGACCAAGGAATCAAAAATATCTCCATATGACAAAATAACAAGCGATCAACGAACCGAATAATAACGCTATGTCAGAAGTTGAAAACAATAATGATATAATCTTCACCGTTCTTTTTCATGACAAGCAGCTCGTGCGACCCGACTCATTCGGGGCGGTAGAAGGAAACGAGCAAATTGTTGGCAAGCTGCTTCACGAAGTAAAGCCGAAGATGATACACGTGTGTTAATGGGAATTTTTTTGTTATGTCTTTTCCCGATTCATATCAAGCTATGTCCTCATCCGTGTATATTGCAACAAAGCAGGCAAGTAATATATCATTATCCTTCTACCACTCGGATCGAGCTTTGTTACAGAGCGAGTTTGTCATGGTAGTCGTAGCAACCGTTTTGTCTGTATCGTTGGTTGCTTTATGTGTTTGGATTCGCTGGTGGTGACGTAATAAAAATAAGAAGAAGAAGATAAATCCTTCTTAACTATCTTTACTATTTTATCGCTGATCATTAATGATAAAGAAGCTTATTAATTTTTGGTTTTATGTAACTGAAATACATCCAACCCTTTTTTAGGCGATCCCTTTTTTCCGATGTTCGACTAAATCCACCCGGAAGAAAATAATTATAATAAAATAATGAAATTACAACGATGTTTACTGTTGAATTTCGAGTACAATAAAATTTATTGTTATATTTTTGTACGGGAGAAAAAGTTTATTTCGATTTTTAACGATACAATGCTCAAACCATGAAAGTGATGAGATCAAATTTGTTAGAGAAAAATCAGTTTTTTTTTTAATGTTAAGATGCTTTTTTTCTGTAAATTTCTCAAATACCATTATTTTTATTGTTGAGAACCATGAATTTCCACCCGGAAGAAAATAATTATAATAAAATAATGAAATTACAACGATGTTTACTGTTGAATTTCGAGTACAATAAAATTTATTGTTATATTTTTGTACGGGAGAAAAAGTTTATTTCGATTTTTAACGATACAATGCTCAAACCATGAAAGTGATGAGATCAAATTTGTTAGAGAAAAATCAGTTTTTTTTTTAATGTTAAGATGCTTTTTTTCTGTAAATTTCTCAAATACCATTATTTTTATTGTTGAGAACCATGAATTTCATTGTGATTTTAATTTATTGTTATATTTTTGTACGGGAGAAAAAGTTTATTTCGATTTTTAACGATACAATGCTCAAACCATGAAAGTGATGAGATCAAATTTGTTAGAGAAAAATCAGTTTTTTTTTTTAATGTTAAGATGCTTTTTTTCTGTAAATTTCTCAAATACCATTATTTTTATTGTTGAGAACCATGAATTTCGTTGGTAATCGCCAAAAATGTCGAATGTTTTGACAGTAAATATCATGATTTCAATGACAATGGATTTATGACAATTTATTGGATTTTTTTTACGGGCAAGTTTGATAAAACTTTGTCTAAAAATCAGAAAAATAATCAAAGAAAAATATTATAGGGGGGTTTGCGTATTCGTCAATCTAAGCAGCGTTCGCCCTTCTATTAGTAATTTCTTAGCGTCACGCACGTGTTTGTTTGTTTACATTTATCTGCATTCCATTCCATTCCGCTTCAAACTCCTCAGGTAAGTTTGACTATTGTCGGCAACCTCTTTTTCTTTGGCAACCTTTCCATTTGAACTGCATGTCATCCAGCTGTTCTATTATCGGCAACTCGAAATCAGCCGTATTTTGCAGTGCGTATATTTCATTTAAAGAAAAGCCTGGTATAATAGGTTTGCGTAGCCGTAAAACTGTGATCGATCTGATCGGAAGCTGGAAGCTGAAAAACTAATGATTCGTTTACAGGGCTGATAGCAGTGTTAAGCAATAAAAATAGAGAATTAGTGACTAAAATGATGACAAAAAAGTGAATCATTTAAAAAAGTGAAATTATTTAAAAAGAGACCAAAATGTAGCTTAGACATTATCATAAAACTTTCGGAAATAGAATCATGCAGATTGATTCGTCAGTCACCCAAAAAAGGCAAGCATCGATTTGCTATCTATACTATCTATATATGATTCGCTATCTATGCTATCTATACATCATTCGTCAAAAGATCTAACACGACTTTCAATAACAGAGATAATTTACCATATTTAAAATTCTTATGGTCTCCTGAATTAAAGTTTAGAATCAATATATTCTCTAACACGACACGCTTTTTAGATATGATCTACACGAGAACAAATTGGAATTTTCATGAATAAAAAATCATGAAATGAAAAAAAAAACTTGCCATCTCATGAAATCATAACAATGATTCATGATAACGGCGCCGGTGGTGTAGTGGTAAGCGTGATTACCTCTCTCCCTAGCAGGTCTGGGTTCAATCCCAGTCGGCGCCGCCGGGATGTTCTGAGGCATAACATCTCTGATCACGCCTTCCTTCGGATGGGAAGTAAAGCCGTTGGTCCCCGGTTCATGAGTTGATAGGTCGATAGGTAGGGTCCAGGTGTGGGAGCTGCCTTCCTGGCACGTCGGTAGCATTGGTGCTCAGCACGGAAAACAAGATCGACGGAAAAAACAAACCAAAGGAAAAAAAAATGATTCATGATTTTGTGATGGATATGAGAAAGATATGATCTAGATACACTCGTCTGATTTTTGAATTACTGTAAAAAAGCATAATTCTTCTACAACAGGAGTTGTTATTTATTCTACTGGGCCGAACATCTTAAGGCTGGATGAGTCATTAGGTCAACTGTGGGAAAGCGATATTATAAATTTTTTTTTCCTTGATTTTGTTTTCCGTCGATCTTGAAGAACCGGGGACCAACGGCTTTGCTTGCCTCCGTGATCAGAGATGTTATGCCTCAGAACATCCCGGCGGCGCTGACTGGGATAGAACCCAGGCCTGCTGGGGTGCGAGGTAATTACGCTTACCACTACACCACCGGCCCCGCTTATAAATGTTGAACACGAAAAAATCCGGACACGAAAATCTTGTTTTATGTTTCATAGTTCAATGTAAAGGCCCACGCACATCCGGATCGGACGCGTTGCGGCAAAGTGATAGCTAAATCTATTACCTAAGTGTCAAATTTACGTCAACAACAGCTATACATTTGTAGGACCATTGTTTCAGTCTTCCATAGGCCATTTTTCAAACCTTTCTTTGTACACGGCCCATCATCTTTTGAACGAGCCCTGTTCCCACATGCTGCCAAATTCCATTTCCACTTGATATCCCTCAGGTCAATTGCAGTTCCACCCTTTTCTTCAGTATGTGCTTCACAATTGACCAGTATTCCACAATTGGCCTTAGTTGCAATAGGTCGGATTCATCTCCTTGGGAACTACTGTTACGTTATTTTCGCTGTACCACTGTTTGGTGGTATTTAAGTAGTGGCAGCTTGCCAAGTCCGGCCAGAAAAAAAAGGCAGTATTCTTTTCTGTAAGCAATCCTCTTGATAAATTTGCTGGTCCATGGTCCCAGAAGTAACGAAAGTTTCGCTTTTCAGCCCAAAACTGCAGATTGCTTGCCAGACAAGGAACTTTTTGGGGAATTTCAATTTCTTTTTGATTTTACATTCTTCCGGGGCACTCTTCCCGTCAACCGAGGTATGAAATTCCTGGCCAGGAATTTGATCGACAACTGCCAGGAGCGGATAGACCGGGATTTTCTATTGAGCACACAGGATCGAATCACGACGTGCTTGCTGCGTTGAAGCTATGATGTAAACAAATGAACTTATCCTGACAACCAATGCCTACTGTGATACTATACACACTATAACATGATTCAGTAAAATTTCAAAAGAAAAATCTCAAAAAATTCCTTAATGGCAATGTTTTTAGTACGTCCGCATTTTGTCTAGTTCAACCTTTAACCTTATAAACTGTTTTAAACTGGTAAAAAAATAGAATAAGACATGATGAATGAGAGCGGAATTGTTTTAATTGTGTATTATCCCAGGAATTTATAAAATCCTTCAACTTCAATTCCCAAGATCCCAGACGAAATGTTGGATCATTTGACATTTGACGGACTGACAAATAATCTTAAAATTTTGGAAATAAAAATGTTTTCAATACATTTTAACTTGAGAGGTGTCAGACTAAAGAAAGAAAGACAAGTACCTGAATGAAACATTAAACATTAAAACAAATTTTGTTTTAAGATCTCTTGTCTTTGCAGATTTGTTAATATTCTTCAATTATTTTCAAGCTTTTGCATTTTGTAGAAATTTGATATATTTTGGATTTAGTTTTAATAAATTCACGATGAATTATCTTTAAAATCATTAAGTTCTGATGTCAATTGGAAAGTAAAGTCACAGGGAAGTAATGCCATTGGTCCCCGGTTCATGAGTTGATGGGTCGATAGGTATGATCCAGGTGTGGAAGCTGCCTCCCTGGCGTTGGTAGCATTGGTACTCAGCACGGAAAACAAGATAGACAGAAAACAAATCAAAGAAAAAAAAATTAACCTAAGAGTGATTAACTCTCACCCCAGTAGGCCTGGGTTCAATCCCAGTCGGCGCCGCCGGGATGTTCTGAGGCATAACATCTCTGATCACAGGGAAGTAAAGCCATTGGTACCCGGTTCATGAGTTGATGGGTCGCTAGGTATGGTATAGGTGTGGGAGCTGCCTCCTTGGCGTCGGAAGCATTGGTGCTCAGCACGGAAAACAAGATCGAAGGAGAACAAATCAAGGAAAAAAAGATCCTAATTTCACGAATTTTTGAAAAATACAATCCAAATGTATAATGAAAACATTTTAAATTGAGCTAGAAATTTTTATAGGTATTATTGATATATTTTCCTTTAGGTAAAGGAAAAATATGGTTTTAAAAATTATTACAACATTCTACAAATTGTTGGGAAAAAATATACAAAGTTAGGCAACGCGCTTAATTATGATACTTCACGGTAAGTTTTGTGTTTTTTAAATGCATTATTAAAAAACTGCTAATTTCCAAAAAGTTTTAAAGCTTACTAAAAGCTTAACATTAATTTAATTTTACTAAGTATAAATATAAATATAAATATAAATAAATTCAATGTTTGGAAATCCAGGTCTACACACTCAGCTTCTTTTTCCATGTTCGGTAATTTTTTACCGAAAAAATACGGTAAATTTTACAGATTTTTCGGCAAACAAAATTTATTTTACCAACATTCGGTAATGTTTTACCGATGAAACGATAATCTGGATATTAAATTGACGAAGTCCGTAAAAACAAAATATTACAGTACGGTCTGCAAAAACTAGGCAATCGCCGAATTCGGTAAAAAACGTCGAGAAAACTGCAAATTATTAAAACGATTACCGAACTTCTGTAAATGATCGTTAACCAAGCAGGTATTATATTTTAACGTTTGCAGAAATATATATATGCATGATGAGTATTTATATAAATATTTTGTAAGAAAATGATTATTATATTTCTAATATTTTCATGGATGCTTTTCAGGTTGTGCTTTTTGCCAAGACCAGGTCCCAGTCTGTTTCTGTACTGCATCGTCACGAAAACAGCCACCTGCCACAAGGCCACTTTAGTGACCAATATATGTACCATTACTATTATAATTATATAATTTATCAAGGGGAACTGACGGCTTCGGCATGACAGACTATTTTCGGCAACCCAAATTGAAACACTATTTTCACTGGATTTTCTTACGAAAACACTTCGCTGAATGCATGCAAACGATTCTTTATGCTTTCAGCTTCCATTTGACTATATTTTTACCACTGAGAAAAAGCAATCTAGCAGGGTTTTCTTGAAATGAAACACACGCACTACAAATTGTAACAGATTTCGAGTTGCCGATAATAGAACAGCAGATTTACAT